TCGCAGCACTCATGGTAGTATGCAGCGAATGTGGCTCCATCTTTTTACATCTTAACGGTAAACAAAAGAACTCGATAGCTTATATATCATTAAAAAGAGGAAGTCTTCCTTTGAAAATCTAGATATATTTCGTTCTAGAGTCAAAAACTAATAGCAAACTGATAGTCGCCGATAGTCTCTGTTGAGTCTGAATCCACAAACACGTGTACCTGCAGGTATCTACATGATGTTCGTTACTTTTCGAAAAAGATCGGTTGAAAACCTTCAAAAAGATAAGATTTAGAACTTTCGTAGTCAATGGAGTGAATTCAGATATCTAGAGTTGAAAATAGATTCTCTTGGTTCTCAGTTCGTTCCATCATTGTGAAGATAATTGTATTGATTTGAAAGCAAATCATTATTACTTGATCTCAAAGACTAATGAGAATAGTATACCGTTCACATAAGTTTTGTTTACTTTTTGATACACTGTTACGATTGCTTTAAACCATAGAGCTCAAATCATTATCGATTTCGAAATATTAGTTTTGTACTAACATTCATAGTCTGAATAAATAAAATGAGTAAATATTATTCTACAGTGAACTAGTCTATTACTAATTACAACAGACGCTGACTAAATAATATACTCTGAAAATATTGAGCTCAGTTTATTTTCTATTGATTCTAATAGCTATAAATAGTCTATAGCAATTATTTTAAGTTCTATAATTTCTATAAAATTTACGATATTATTATTTAATCTTTTGAAAATAATCTATGTGCGAATTTAAATTACAAAATTGATCTAATTAATTGTATGAAAATTTTGTTTTACATACTCGCATCTTTAAATGTCGTCATTTTTCGTATTTCACCTAGAAGTACAATTTTTAATGTTTCACCATAAAAATCTTCTGAAAATGAATGTATTATATGTGTTTCCTAAATAGGTATTTAATCTCGATAGTGATCATAATAAATTTCTACATACCATTGTCTTTTTTTCACAAGTATAAAATGGATTTATTCCAACACTAGTCACCATTTTATAAACTTCATTATGATTTTGTGTTAATAATTTTGCCCAACCATAATAAACACCTTGATATATTGATGATGGTAATTTTTCTACTGTATCATCATCAAAGTTTGCTAATAATTTAAAGAAAAAGAAAAGCTCATTAGTATTTTTGTCTTTTAATAAAGAAAACTTGCCTAAATTTAAATACCTGTTGGACAACCGAGCTCTTTGCTGCCACGATCAAAGCCATGTACAACAGTACCAAGAGTAAAGTATGGAAATGGTGAATCAGTCATTATCTGAAATATAATAAAATGTTGATTCGCATTGATTAGTGATACGTGCTGAAAAATAGTATTATTTTTTGATAGATTTCATTGCTCAAGTCTATAATCGAAAATGCAATAGTAAAACTGAAATTTTTTATATGATTAGATAGAGTATGTTGAGCTCATCAAGAATATATTGATTTTAATTTTATTGGAATGAGCTTTTATAGGAAAATTTTCAGTTTTAATCTAATGACATATTTTTTCTGAGTCGAAGGGCAATTTTTAACTATCGACAAATCGTGAATTTCTTGGTATTTATTTCAATTTTCAATAATATTTCTTTCACATGCAGGGTAAAAAATTAAATCTATGAAAGTTATTTATAAATGACTTTCCTAGGTTCAGTTTTTCAGACTGAATGTGAAAATAAAAAACTCATGGTTTGTCGGCAATCGAAAATTGGCCTCTTTCTTATAAAAAGCAAGTCATTGGAAAAAACTAAAATTTTCTACCTAAAACCTCATTCCATAAAATTAAAACACAGCTATATTTTATCAACTCATCATGCTCTATCTAACCATATAAAAAAGAAATCTGGCTTTAGTTTTGCATTTTCGGCAATTTAGAATCTTGGAAGCCCATACTATTCTATATATATATATATGCTTAAATAATCAGAGATGCAATCAATAATCTAATCTATTCTTTTAAATTGACAGGTGTGAAATGTTTCCATGGAAGATCAGTGAGAAAAAAAATTAAAAAAATTACTTTTTTTTATTATTGCTCGTAACAAACAGCATTAAAATGTAAATGGTTTTTATATAGTACATAAAAAATATTGCAAATATTTTTCTTTTCAAAGCTATCGTCAAATATCATTTCAGGTGTTAATCGCTATTTATTTGGTTGGTTTTCTTATGTTTGATACTGAATCAATCGTACGGAAGAGGTCATTATACGACAGTTTGATATTCTACTTCCAACGTTCATAGCAAAGTAATTTAGAAGTTTTTTTTCTTGATTTAATTTATTAGTAATTCAGTGAAATTCTATAGTAACGTAATCGAAGATAAGTTCATATATAATTTACTGACAACATAAATATTTACCTCTTTCGCACATTCATGAAAAAAACAGCTGATCACAAGATTTTAAAGACTCATTTGATTTTATATTGATAATTCAGAATCGATTGTTTCTGATTTATAGATCGCAGTCGTTAGTGTTTTTTTTTATTCATATACTTATCATTAAAAGCTCTCATAGAACAAAACAATTTTCATCGGACTTTCAACCATTCGGTCGTTGTTTTGATGTATTGATTTGAGCTTCCGACAAACGTCGAAATCCTATATCGAGCTCTTGGCTTGCTACTTTCCGATAGATAAAGGACTCAATATTGGATTATTTCAACAAGCAATTTTCAACTATTCGAACAATTGTTTCTGAAAGAATCAAAATCTTATTAACATGATATGGGTTTTGTTTTCGATAGATGTCTCATTCTTGAGTCGTCGAAACCTATTGAATATACGCAGAAGAGAAGATTCGAATATGGATGCTTACGAATCACTTTCATCAAATATATAAACTAAATATGCAGTACTATTATTCTATGAAAGTTATTTTCAGTTCATAAAAAGATAATATTTAGACAATTGTGTGTGTGTATTATAATTGATATTTTCTGCGAATTTTAAAAATTAAAAAGAACCTTTTTTTCTATATAAGAAAAAAATGCTTATTAAATCAAGATTAAGCAATCCTTTCAAAAGTTGAAAACGCGAAAATTCATTATGATTATGCCATCATTGGGTGCGCTGACGGGTTTCTATCTTAGTTGTCATCAGTTTATGTAAGATGTTGATTAGAAAATTATGAAATTAACGTGAAATATACAACAAAAATAAATAGTTCTACTAAGATCGTGGAATAAAAGTAAAAGAGGTTTCGGAATTGCTTTGCGGAGACGATCCATGTAATAACAATTAGACTTAACAGTCAACACTGTTATTATGCTGGGCTTACTTCTAGTGGAGCATTCCGAAAGAATCTCTCGATTGCAATATTAAACTTAGACAGAATTTCTTCTAGCTAGGTGCGGAAGGGCGATGTTTTTTTATTAATTATTGTTATCAATATCAATGGAGAAAAAAAGAATTTAACTATTTGTTTTAATAGACTTTAAATAAAACGGAAGAACATTAATTTTTACATATTGAGTATGACAATGATTTCTTCGTCAGCATCATAAATCGATTCTCGAAAACAATTTTCTGAACAGATCTGAGAACATTTGAAATGTTTAAATAACAAATTTCGAGGAAAGGCAATGATGGCGCAAACCATGAATGAAAAGAATCTTAGTCGTATTAGGAATAAGTGTGCACTAGATTTCGATTCACCCTTTTACATCTTGATGTCGTACATCTTTTGTTGCACAAAACTCTAGCTCGAAACTTTTACTATATGATGCAAGAACTAATGAACCAGTGTTAGCATATGAAGCAATACCCGACGTTGATAAGCGTACTCACGTTGAAAGGGCTCATACATGACGCGACAAATACCTAGACAGTTTATCGATGAACAACAGCTAAGCATGCACCAGTATCAGCGAACTGGTCACTAGTTAAAATGAATTCAGATACTTGAATACGAGTCCCAACTGATAAGCTGGTAGTAGTTATTTGTGTAAATAGTTAAATCGGTACTGGTCAATCCAAAATTATAGCTGATATAATCTACATCTTTTACAAATCTTCAAGATGACATCAAATGACTACATTCGAGTAATATTCAATCAATGTCATTTTCCATACATATATTTTGCTTGTGTTATCAATATTATTTTTTTCTGATTATCGAAATATATATACATATATAAATACAAAACCATATAAAAGAAACTTGAATATACATTGGTTTTAATAAACGGGTGGCATTTTACTAAATGTCAATGAAAGATTTTGAATTAATTCCTCAAGGGAATATTCTCCCCGTAGAAAAAAAACAAGTAAAAAAAAGAATACCATAATAAATTTCAAAATATTAAATTCTACCGAAATCTAATCACGTAAACAAGAAACCGAAATTTTTCCGGTTGCGTCTACATATGAACCATTCGCTGAAATACATATGTTTGGTGTAGACAATAGACTTGAAATTAACATCAATATTATCTACATGCAAAATAGATCTGCCCTTTCTGTAAGTTTTGCATGTTTATTGATCAATGCATCATTTATTTCATCAGTGGTTGCATTTCTATCACAAACCTAGAATATCATATAAAGAGAATTTAATCTAGATAAAAAATATAATTCTATTTACATTAGCAAATACAATATATCTTAGAATTTCATTCTATAGTTGTGGCATTTTATTAAAAGCTTAATTTTAATTGTACTTCATTTGCAGAGCGTTTAGAAGTATATATTTATATATCACGAAAGAAAAAAAAGATATAAAACCCAGTGTCAAAGCAAACACATCATTGCATACATTCTTATTTTATTTCTTCATGTCCAAACTAAACATAAGGAATAAATCTTATGCATCAGTGTGTTTTCAATAAATGACGTAAAGAATATTTTCACATTGAAAAAAAAATAGCAAGGTTTTTATATTATGTTCTATATGTTTAGTTATACAAAAAAAATCGTTTATAAGAAAAAGTTTTTTTTCGAAATGTATGGTTTTTTAATAGTTCTGTCGTAATTCTAAAAAACACGACCACGTTGTTGCATATTACTACGACCATAAGTCCATGTAAAAACTACAGTATAGATACTAATAAAGATGACACAAAGCACCACTTGCAGAATAGCAAAAGCTAATTGTGCTGCAAGAACTTTTGATTTTCTTGGTAATGAAGAAAACCGATCATTGCCATCTTGTACAGCTTTAGCATCTAAAGCAAGAAGAATAACAGAGAAACCAATAGCAATAACATTTGCAATCATAGCAATTGTGGCCCAAAAACGAGTATGACGTGCCAAATCTAAAAGAAAAGTAGAATTACTTAATCATTTTTAAGTAAATATAATGTTTGATGGAAAACTTTTTAGACAAAATATTGGCGTACTTTTCATCCCTTATATAGTATTTTCAACAAATCAAAAGCTACGAATTAGGATGATTTTTGTTTTAATATGGGCTTACAAATTTTGCATTAGTTTTTTGTTTGAGAATAGTAGAATAATCTTTGCAAAGCCCAATAATAATTAGTTTGGACGGAAAACTTTTGTGTTTTCATTATTGGATTTGGAAATTAAAAATGAGAATCTTTATTTATATATCAGCTTGTAGATTAGAAGCTACCCATGTGATAACTACTGCCGGAATTTTTTTTCGAAGCCTTGTATCAAAACAAGTGCATATTCTTTGAAGCCTATTAAAACTGACAGAATTGAATCGTTTTCGATGTATTCTGGTAATGCTGATGTATCTGAGCTGCTTGTACCAGCTTCAGAACCCAAATTGGCCTCAGTTATGAGGTACACTTTTATTAAATATGGGGCTGCAAAAATTGTTATTAGTAAAATGAATTCTGGAATTGTTTTCTCCTCGGTTGATTTGAATTCTTTCTAATAAATAATTCAAATTTGAGGAAAAAATACTCTCTACACTCATTTATAGCTAGAACTTCAAGTCATAAGCACTACCGTTGATAAATCGTTGATAATTTTTAGCATGTTCGAAAAGGAATCTATAGGGTGAACAAAAATCTCTTGATTCGTCATTAAAAATAAGTTTTCAGGTGTTTCAAAAAGTTTTTCGCTATTCTTGAACTAAAATACGCACAACATGTATTCTACGAAAAACACCAAATTCTGATCGTGACCTATAATTTTTTGATTTGCCGAAAATACTTTCTAGAAGATCAAAAGTGAACAAACATCTTGTCAAAAAACTTTCTAATCACTCATTATCGATAGAACTTACTTGTTATAATAATGAGCAAAGCAGCATTAAAAGCAAAGACCCCACACCAAAAACCAGCACCTGTTGAAGAAGTATTTCCATACAGATCATTATCTGTACTTATCGCTAATGATGCTGTTTCAAGTGCACCAATGGCCAGAACACTTATTATCATAAAACATGCGAGAATAGTTGAAATAATAAATGGCCATGCTGCTTGCCAAACAGCTTCAGATGATGGTCTAGGCTGATGGAGACCATAAAGTTGCTGTCTTGGGACATAAGGACCAGTAGTATACATATTTATTGCAATTGAAAATACTCCTTCTTTCTCGTTTTTCGTTGACACTTTTATACTATCGTATCATATATTGAATAGTGTTGGAACAAGGAAAAAAACTATTTGCCTTTTCATCTTTTTTTTTTAGCTTTAATCAACATTTCATCATGCATTTCTTCTTTTTTTTTGTCTTTCCTTTGCTACCAGTGTAATGGATACGTCTAGAAACGAAATTATAAATTTGTACAAATTATACTACAAAACATTTTCCGTGACAAAATAATATATTGGCAATTCAATCAAAAGACATTTAACAAGGTCATTCGACATATATTGACTAATTTGATGACTATTCTAAATGGTGAAAACTCTGTATTATTTTAAATTATACAACTGTACTTTTTACCTTCGCACACGAGACAGAAATTAAAATTGCAATTAAATATAAAAATATTAATTGAGCTTTTGACCTTCGATTTGCCACATCAGTAGTACACTATCAAATAAAAAGCAACGAAATATCATTCTATCAATTATACTAGGTTCAATACGTGCAAGATAATCAATAGAAAAAAGTAGCTATCAAAACCTACATTGAGTTTTGTCAATTATTTGTCGATGATTGCGTCTATCATGAAAACAAAGACATTAATATATATAATAATAAAAAATATTATCTGAAGCAAAGCTTTATAATAAACGAAGTTAATAAAGGTATGATAACTGAAAGATTGTATTATATCTTTTCTTATGAATTCTGTTCATAATTCAAATATTAATCGATTTGAATTGAATGATGAAGTAAAACGAACTAAAATTATGATACCAAAAACGAAGGCTAAAATAGTAGAGCATTGAAACGAATGTTTCTGTCATACGGTTTTTATATAAAAACTTAATAGAAGAACATAAAAAAAATTATATTCAGATTGAAAATAGAGTATATGTCAATTTAAGAAATATGGATACAGTATGCCGTTATAAAAATAGAAACAGTACCTGCAAACTTTTAATGAAGTAATTACTCATCTGGATACTCTATTTTCTGTATTGCTGAGGGCATATCAAAAGTAGTGGCGGAAATATTTTAATTCGTCATAAACAACAAAAACAAGTTTTCTTTCTTTCTATATGGCCTGATATTTAAAAAATGCTCTACATTTCTCTGATATTTAATTGATTATTGTTCAACAAAAATGATAATAGAAAAATTTCTATGAGAGCTGTTTGTTATGATATGTGACGTGTTCTGGTTACACATACTCAAAATTATTTTCGTTGAATTCCTTCATTGAACGGTTTTTATGCTCTTCTTTATTTAAAGAATTTATGAACATGTTAAAAACACGATACAACAATTGCAAGTCGCTTTGATCGCTGATATTTTGTTTAATCAAGTCCAATAATCAAAATCATATGATGTTCGTCTGAAGAATTTTACTTAAGTAAAACGTTGATGAACTGGTTTCTGTATTGCTTTTTTATTCAACTGTCGCCATTTTTTTGTATAACATAATACGTGTAGACGGCTAAGTATTAGAGGAGATAACGAAAATAACGATATGTATCGAAAACAAAATGTGATTTAATCATCATGCATCATAATAAACAGCTCTTATCGGAATTTTATTATGATGATATTAATTGAAGAATGATGAGATATCAGCGAACGGTGAATTCTCGTTTCGTCAAAAGCTTAATTGATTTTCTTGTTTCGTTGAAAATTTTTTTTCTAGCATTCTCGTTTCGTCGAAAAGTAAAATTGAAAGAAAAAGAAGAAGAATATGAATATCTTATTCTAATTGTTTTGAGTCCATTGAATAGACTAATTTTCATTGAAGAAATCAATTAAGCCATATCGATACGTCATTCAGTCAGCCATCCAATACCACCACGGAAAACTTATTTTTAAATCGAAATCTTCGATTAAAATATTTAGTTACTGGTTATAAACAACAAACTTCAATTGTGGAAAAATAAGTATGTGGATTAGCGTAAAGGTGAGGGTACGAGCTAGGGCGTGAGAGTGCTTTGGTATATATGAGAATGTGGGTGTCCGTTTTCTCGTTGCTTACCCATACACTCAACACTCTTAACATCTCAACATTTTTACATTTCGATGTTTGTAAACTTCAACATTGTTGCCTCTCAACATTGGTAAGGTGAATCCATTTGGTCTATGTGTAAATCCTTATAATTTTATCAATAATTTTTTTTTTACAGATCCACTCAGAATCATTCTTTCGAACTAGTCTGTTAAAGAAAACGAAATGTGTGTGAATAAGCTAATTACACTCTTCATCTTCTTATTCGAATTTTAATTTTCGACGAAACAGGAACATGAGAAAAAAGAATTTTCGATGAAACAAGAAAATCAATTAAGCTTTCGACGAAACGAGAACGAACCCAGTGAACTATGAAATATAGAATTTCTGCACTCTTTTTATGATGAATTAAAACACGTTCGCTACTACTTTTAGTATCCTCTCAGTGCTTTCAATATCAAAAATGGCAATATTAATATCGATTATAGTTGTAATACAAAGAAATAATCTAATAGATAGTCATTTATTAAATCAATGAGTATCCTCTGATGATGTTTGTTCAAAATGCTATCGTTTTGTGTACCGAGCTATTTTAAGAAGAAATAGAATGTAGAGGAGATGTTTGTTGATGTACAAGAATAATTTTTGATGAAGATATAAAATTGTACCAGAGAAATTCTAATGAATATAAATAATGAGTCTGGTATGTTTCAAGTACTCTCATTTAGTCATAGACCTATACAATGTATTAATATGACCATCATTGATACTTTTCATAGTCAACTTATTCGAAATAAATATAAAGGGACATTTTGTTATTGTATGAAGTGATCCTTGAAATCATACTATAATGTATTTTTTCAAATAGATTTTTTGTTGTTTACCTTGGTCTATATTATTTTGCCTACAGTTGAAGATATATTGATCGACATTGAGAAAGTCCCCGCAAGTATGACAAAACATAGAAATAAGGCCTTGTTACTAAAGTGATAATTAATTGATACAAGGAAAAATGTTCATATTATTATTTATGAAGAATATTTCTTCTTAATTTACACATTTCATAATGAATTTCACTAGGATTTATCACATAGATGCCTTGCATATAAAGGATGGCTGTTTTAATAAATTTTATGGATGCACATTTCCTCAATTTACAAAAAGACTAGAGGTATTTCCTACGTTACAGTTATGCTGCAAAGAACATGAAAGATTGTTATCGATTCTCACGTCTCAATTTTTACACATGCAGTCTGCTAACGCAGATGAATTTTTGATTCTATTTAAGTTTCTTTTGTAATTTCTTCAACTGTTTGTATATGAAATAGCGCAATGTTTGTAGGATTTAAATATGAAACATGATATAATTGCTGTTGCTAATCACAAGGAGATTGTTTTATTGTATTCAATATGCAACACATTTCTTCATCATCATTTTACTTAATACTTTAAAAATGCAATAAGACGATAGCTGATATATTTTAATGAAACATTATTCATATACGGTCTGAGAACATCTATCAAAAATATTTCTCACTGTCTGTGTCGTTTTCTGGTTGTCTGCTGTGATCTATCTCGCTTTTGTGGTTAGGTCTGTCATAGTCTGTGATGAAGAAGAGACATTACCAAGGAGATCTATTACGTCCGTGGTGACCGGAGCAGAAGGTGGAGTGTGTAACCTCTGCTTAGTAAACTTTTTTGTTTCTCAGCAGTAGAGCCAACAATTTTTCATACATTGTCTCATAGTAAAACTTCCAACATCTTTTCGTCCAATGTTGGCTGCTTCACGCCGATCCTGATTAAAACTAAAGCGTTTCAAAATCAGATTTTTGTTTTACTACTATTTAGCTGATGATTAACATGTGAATGTTTTATGTTTGTAAATTGATCGACAAAGTCATCGCTTTGTTTACCATTCTTAAAATTTATTTACTTTTGTCCTTTTCTTTTAATTCAAAAAAGAAGAATTTTCATCAAGTGTTTTTTTTTCTAAATGCATCAATCTTTCAATCATCATCATTGTCGTCGTCATTGCCAACATTCCAGTTCGTTAAGAAGCAGCACAAACTATGGCTGAAGTTCCAAATTGTTGTAAAACAATTCTTCTTCTTTTATTGATCTTCCTGATTCCACCATTAGCTGTATATTTTGTTCAAAAACAATGCAATTCAACAGTTATTCTTAATATGATTCTTTTTCTTTGTATTTGGATTCCTGGTGTTATTCATGCTCTTTATGTTATTTACTTTAGTTAATTTTTTTCTTCATTATTGAATACAATTAAATAATTATATAGACACACACACACGCACGCACATGCACAAAACTGTTATTGCTATAAAGGACGAATATTAGTTGATGGTTGACGAGCGAAATAAGACCTTGATGTAATTGTTGGTGTTTGCTGTTGTTGCTGCTGTTGTTGTTGTAATTGAACTGTATTCATTGCTAATAATTCTTGTTGTTTTATAATACATCGACATGTACAATCTTTTTCTGGACAATATTTATGTTTAAGTCCGTCTGATGAAAACCATTCATGCATATGTGTTAAATGTCCACCATGATCACATATTGAACATAAAAAATGTTGACCTAGAACGGGTTGTAAACAAATTGAACATATGATAGTTGCTGGTGTTATTGTTTGATTAAATGGTGCTGGTGATTGACAATTATGATCTATTTGAGATAAAATTTGTGTTCGTTTATAAAAATGTCTCCATCGATGTAATAAACATGCATAAGCATATAAAATTGGATCATAATCATGTTCATTAACTAATCTTGTTTGAATTCTTGTTTTCAAATATGAAGTTTGAGACATTGTTAAAAGAAACATACTTGCTGATTGTATATCACCATTCATAACATAATTAGAAACTAAATGTTTGATTAAACCTTGGAAAAGAAACACAAAGAGTAAAAGAAAAAAAATTTATTTATTTATTTATTTTTTGGCTTCTAAGTTTACCTTGAGCTATTGGTGTTTGAAACCAAGAATCATCATTTTGTAAACTTGGTTGTAATGATAACAAACCACCAAGTAAACGCCAACAATGTGATAAATCATTTTTACCCAATTCTCGTGCTATTTGTTGATTCATATCACACATTTCAACTGGATTTTTCAAATCAATTTTGTAATCATCAGCTAATTTTTTACTAACAGGTAATAATATAGAAACATCATATATTGATACAGTTGAATGTGGAGGAATTATTTGGCCAAGTGAACGACGATATGCTGTTGGTGTACGTTGATGATCACTAAATATACTATTAACAAACGATGAACGTACAGGTGCCGAAAATATTGGCAATCGTTGATTATTCGGTATATATTGTATTTGTACTGTATTTGTTGCTGGAGTTCGATAACTTGATTGTTCATCAGTACTAGAATTTTCACGGGTTTTTGTTACTGTTAAACTTGTTGAACGTATAGGTAATGATTGTGGTCGATTCATTGTTCCATCATTTAATGCAGTTAAAACCGGTGCTGAATTTAATTGTTGATTGTTACCTGTCCGACCAAAACATATTAAATGTGAACTACCGGAAAAACGAGCACCACATGTACGTCGACGACTATGAACATTTGATGCACTTGATATTTGACTATCATTTGTACGTGTTGATGATGATGTCATAAATATTCGATTAGGATTATTATCATTATTTGCAGTTGGATTATTAGAATTAGTATTTGTAAAATCATTTATTGAATCAATATCAAAATTTGTTGATGAATGTTCACGTTTTTTATTTGGTGTATTTATTGTTGATGACGTTGTTGAAACTAATTTTTCTTGTTTATAATATTTATCAAATAAATGTTTTAATTTCATTAAACATTTATGTAAACATAATTGTCCATGATAAAAACAATTATAACATGTTTCATCAAACATCTTTTGTATATTAGATTGCAATGATTTCAAACGTTCATCATTATTTATTATTGATAATTTAAAACGAACAAATAATTGTGATATTATGGGATAATGACGAGAAAAAATAAGATATATACGAAATGTGGACGTATTTTCTAAAGAATATACACAACGAAGTATACACATGCGACGCTTTTCATCTTTTGTTTCAACGGTTATATATGAACCATAGCTATCAAGGAGAGAATTTAATTCATTTTCAACCGACACTGCTGTTATTGTATTATTACTTCGATCGGGACTAAAAAATAGATGAAATATTTTATTTAAAGTTTCCTCTGAGACATTTTGAAATATATATAAGCTAGTAAATACAGGTGCAATTATTACTTTCGTATTTTGTATCGAACATATACAGTAGTCGCAAGAAGTTATGTTACTGAATGAAAAAATACAAACTTCGATCCTTTTGATTGATATTCTGACCACAAATAGAGTTCGGTAAACTCTGATAGCAAGCAACAAGTGTAGGTTGATAAATCTTAGTGCAAAAGATTTTCAAAATGAAAAGCTTTTTTTGCCAGGGTCCAACAAAGACTTTGATGACATTCTTTCTGATTTTTTACTACTTAAATGCGTTAACCTCCATTATTTTATTACCAAATAAAAATTTGCATGCCTATATTGTGTCATGAATAGTATATTTTAGTTTGCTATAGTCTTAAGGTCTGAGGAAGCTTTCCTTGTCTGGAACGGTCTCGACATGAATCTTCCCTTCTCCATTGATGGCTACTATTGTGAAGTTTTGAGGAAAAACTTGATTAGAGCAGAGCACTTACAGGACAAAATTTCAAAGGAAAAGGTTAAAACTAATCAGAGATATCAGTCAATTTTCGACGCTTCTAATCAACTATCATGTGAAAATTACCCAAAAAATATTTCATAAATCAGGCAAACTAAAACAAATTCATATGAAGTTTTAATTGGTGTTACCGACCGTATCGAGCTATTGAATGAGAGATCTAGCGTGATAAAATTTGTATTTTATCTTAACCTTCTAGCTCCTGTCTATAAGGGCCGATCCAGTCCCGATTATCAGTTACGATCAAAGTTCAAATATACCCTAGTTATGGTCAAACCATGGAACTAAAGAATTAAAGTTCAAATACTTTTTACTTGATGGCAAGGTTTTTATGACTACTGTAACAGTCTAGAAGGGATTTGTTTGAAAAGTTTAGTTTACAATTAAACGTATCAGTGGATCCTTTTATTTTTGATGAATCCTAAATACTCATTCAAAGCTACAATTAATAATGAAAAGAAAAATTCCTCAAGTTCATTTATATATATCGATTAGTTGACTTGGTTACGATGAAAATAAATGAACAGTCACATCTCGAACAATCAGATTACCATATTTTGTCCTCTTGGTATTCGGTTTAGACTAATTATTTTCAGATTCAAATTTGAACAGCTTGACTTTTCTGATTATTTTTTTATTAATAAAGAATTATTTTAAAGTATTCAAGCAACTCTCGTCTCTTGTTTGTCTAAGAAAAACTTCCTCCTAAAAATCAATTCTCTATAAATTTATCAAGTCCTGAAACAGAACTTATTGTGTTGCGGCTATGTAGAGTTGCTGAAGAAGGATTTCTATCATTTAAAATTCGCTTTGAAATTCTTACTCTATTATAAGAGCATTTGCTCGTACTCCGTCCAGTCACTAACATAAAGTAAAACGATCTTATTTTGAAAAATCTAGGCATGCTCAGAACAAAAATGGAATAGAGATTTTATAGCCTCAGGAGTTGCCTACAGCATGCACTACCTATGTTTCAAATATGCTGTCGCAATTCAGAGGCTCTTCAACCTAAATTTTATGAACTGAAAGTTGATATCCTTTTTTTGCGTCAACCGTCATTGAAAAACAATTGTTAGTAGGACTAACTATCGTACGATAGAAGTTTTCCTAATTGTAAGTCTTCGTTTCAATCAGCTTTATACCAGTTTGTAGAACTTAATAAGTTTATCATGATAACATAAAGTGTTCTTCCCGATAGACTGTCTGTGAAAAACATGAAATTCAAAAAAATTACTGTAAGCTAGTTTTTTTTCGAAAGTTTTGATCTGTATATTACTTTAGATTTGAATATTGAAAATTTAAACATTGAATGAGTCTTCCTTAACTATACAAATCCACACTCAACGTCAAGAGTAGGTCTTACTACGTTTGTACTTTGAATATTTCAAAACCATTAATATTGTGAATGTACGAATTTCAACTATTTTTTCAAAAATGATCAAGATTTCCTCAGAATAGTATTTTAAAGACGTAGTAATGAAATCTTTCTAACTATTTCGTTTTCAATAGTTTGCATTCTATTTCGTCATTTTTTCGCATGTCTATGTGAAGAATTACAACAGATTAGGCAAGTAATTGAAACATAATGAACATGCATTTATAATATATGTTCTGCAAAGATGAACATACAATTGAAATTAGATAAGTTTGGAAAAAATAGTGATCTTCTGTACATCTATATTATTAATGATATTGAAATATTCAAACTATAGATATAATTAGGACTTCAACTTCTGTTGATTGTATAAATGTATATAGTAAACTGGAACGCATCCAGTGTTTAAATTTTGAATGCTAAAAACTAAACTAGGCATGCACCAAATACTGTTTTTTTTGGTGATAAAGATGACTCAGGTTCGATATCAAGAACCGTCAGTTCTTGTCAAGCCTTTGGGTGCTTTCTGCTTAACTTTTATTGCTCTATCTAATGCTAGTTACAAATAGAGCAATAAAAGTTGAGTAGAAAGTACCCGAAGATTTGACAGGAACTGACGGTTCTTGACATCGTAAATGAGTCATCTATATCACCTAAAAACAGGATTTGGTGCATGCCTAAACTAAACTAACCTAAAAATAAAAATTTCTGAAATAAAAACTTACTTTAGTGTTTTTGAATTTAAGATCGGTCTAATTCCTCAAAGACAGCATATGCGCAAAGAACGTTTATTACCATACCAAACAGTCCATTGTACTGTAAAAACTGGTATAAAGTTTATGAAAAATAGAGCATCATATTGAAGGATCTTTTCTTGTTAGTAGACCAAATGAGATTTCTCTTTTACTCTCAGAACTATCTAAGTATTACTCACATCATAGGATAATCATTTTCATCGCTTGCTTCGGAAGACTCTAGTGTATTAGGTGGTGATGATGGCATTTCTTGAAAAGCATTATCATCATCATCGGTAGTTTCTCCGCTATCCGTTGTTTCACTTTTAATAGCATCCATTGTCGTAACTGCCCAACTACTTCGAGCTATTGTTTGTGGTCGCGATGGATGTGTTGATGCTCGAGAGATACTTATCGAACTGGATAAATCAGATGAATTCATCATTTTATTTCGGGTACTTTGATTTAACCATGCTTGTCGAAATGTTGAATCCATATCAACTAAATATAAATTTCCATCACGGCACCAAGTAAGTAAAAGAAAACGATTGGTTGAATCATCATTTATATGAGATGATGAAGAATTATTAAATAAACTAAAAAATCGAGGGTTTGTAATAGAACAAAAATCAACTATTGGTGATGGAGTTGTTGATAATATACGGTTTGTTAATGGTTGTAAATATTGATCTCCATCCCAACGCCATCCCAAGAAACCACATGTTGATGGAATAGAATCACGAGATGCACAAACAAATAAATTATCATAAATCGTTGTTCGAATCTAACATATTAAAGAAAATTTAGACAAGAATAATGATAATCAATTATTTTTTTAATTCCTACTTTATTGAATGTACAAGAAGACTGTTCATTGGGTAATGATTCGGCAAGAATTTGACCGGTTGTTGAATATATTCTTATAGAATTATCCATAGAAAGTGTAATGATTGAAAAATCATGTCTTATCCAATCCATACTAATTATACGTTGTGTATGTTCTAAATCAGTTGATGAGTATAAATGTGAATCAATACGACGTATATCATATATTCGTATGCATCGGTCACATTGAACAGCTAATTGATTTAAATTATCAGATTTTACTGATGACCATTGAATACGACGAATACTAAATGGTGTTGATACTGTATGTTTTAAATTAGCTGGACTTTTAGATGAACAATGTCGAGTATCCCATACTTGAATTTGACCATCAAGTGAACCTGTTAATAACCAATGTGAATCATGCGGTGAATAAGCTATTGTTGAAATAGGACGCTAGAAATTAAAAAAAACAACTAATGTTACTGAAATTTATTTTGTTAAACATTAGAAATAATGTATGCACTATCGTAGCGTTGGTGGTGTAACGGTTAGCATGGTTGCCTTCCAAGCAGCCGACCCGGGTTCGACTCCCGGCTAACGCACTTCGTTTTTTTTTCGTGTAATTTATTTTGCTCACCTGATGTTGTGAATCAATGATAGCATTCGTTTCATTAATATGTGTATGATCAACTGTATAAAGACGAACAAGACGATCTATAGCTACCGCATATTGATTAGGATCCAAATGATTCCATTCAACAATTGGTCGATTAACATTACACATATCAAATAATGGTACACATTTAATATCAGCTAAAGATGGTATAAATACATTCGTATCACCGCCGATTCCATTATCAATTTGTGAAATTATCGTTTCGAAATTAATAAATGCGAGTTCATGATTGCCAACAAGTAATAGACGTGTTTCTTGATCATTAAGTGCTATCGCATGACAATCGAAATTTAATAAACTTTTACCAGTATCAAATATACGACAATGATTTGATGATGTGTCATTATTTCTATTATACATCATCTGCAAGCATTTACATTTACTCGAAATCAATTTAAGTTTAAAAAAATAAAATTTTTATTTATTATTTTAAAATATAAACGTTGCAAAAATATAAATATTAGTCGATATTACATGATTTTTTTTCTCTTGTTTTAAATTTAGTTTTATTTGTGTAGTAGAGTAATGATAACGTATGTTACAGGATAAAAATTCCCATTTATTATCGAAACGCTCAGCTCAAAAATTGAGTATTCTGCATATCTACTTTCTTTCTCTCACCGACTACTGGAAATGATAAGATGTTTGTATAGGTTTCAAACGCTTGAAGATCAAATCAAGGCAATAAAAGTTCAGTAAAACAAAGTTAATTTGTCTTTTCAATCAAATTCATTACTTCAAAAAACTTTTGTGAAATTGATTCAAACTTGTTTTGGTGTTATTTCTTCTTATTCAAAGTCTTAAATAAAATTTGTAATGTTTTCACCACCATGTTTTCCGTCATGAACAAATCATGTACTAATTCTCAGTATTTCTTCCACCTTGAATATGATACCAATTACATTTATTTTATCATTAATTTTACATAAATAAATACATCTTACCAAAAGAATAATTAACAGAATCAAGTTTGTTGATAAATTTCTTCTTTAGATCGACAACACCCTATACACTAATTCGTCTAATTGACGAAGTACATCAACAAGTGTGGGTGTCACGATGTCGTTGACCTAGAGAAGTACCGTTAATAATAACAATAAAAAGAAATGCAATTGAGTTAGTTAAATATCAAATATTAACATCTACATTTTTTTCTTGTGTAACTGACCTATTATGTTAAATCTCGTGTAGAAAAAAAAACTCATTAATTAAACTATAGTTTTAAAATATTCATAATCGATTATCATAAATAATTTGAAAGTATCTATTTTTCGACAAGAGTAGAAGTACTCAAGGAGTCGAAAAAGTCAATAATATTCATTATTTCAATATATCCGTTGGATTATTTAAAGCTAAAAATGAAAACAATGAAATCTACAAAAGAAATATCTAACAAAAACAGCTTAAAAAAATAATTAAAAACAAAATAGTTTTATTTTATCTTTTATGATTCGAAGATAATATTCGTGAGATTCACCTGATGCTGCCGCTGCGAAATAACTCATAATGAGTGGATATGTCTCATGACCAAACTACGATGATCTCACAGAGGTCGCTCTATTACAATCAGTTGATTATGGTTGTAGACGAATTTCTATTATTTTATATATACAGTAAAACCTCTGTTAGTGGACACCTCTCTAAAGTGGACATCTCCCTATTGTGGACACCTCTCGGTCCCACCGAGCCTTTTTTGCTGGAAATGAACCTCCCGAATATGGACACCTCCATATTCTGGACTGTGGACACTTTTATCTGGTCCCATTGCAGTGAATAACCTCTTCATAGTGGACAGTCTGTTAATTTCGTCGCATTATCTTTGTCTAGACAGAATTGTGCATGTGACAAGGCGCTAATGAAATCAATACGCGACGTACACTGCAATACAAAGGCAATGAAAAGAAAATAGACTAGGCAGAAACGAAACAGACAGGGTAAAAAGAGAATAGACTAGGCAAAAAAAGAACAGGCCAGATGATAATATAAAAGGACAGCAAATTACTAAATTGAACACACATTCACCTATTCAACAAGAATTAATAAAATTAAATAGATTTCAATAAATTATAAGAGAAGTTTATCTGAACACATACCTCCATGCGAACGAACTTGAGAAAGGAGTGGAATCTACTATAGTAACGACAGTGATCACTTTGAAGCGAAAGAAATCGAAAACCTCTCTTAAGTGGACACCTCTGTATAGTGGACACTTTGAAAAAGTCCCTTGGGTGTCCACTATAGAGAGGTTATACTGTAATATTAAGAAGATAATGTTGACCGGAATACTATGCGCAAAATATCTTTTTATCCCATTATCGTAATTATCATCTAGTCTAGCAACAAAAGAGGTTTCGAGATCAATATTTATCGATATAAATATATTAGCTACATCAATCGATTTAACGTATAAAAATAAATAATTTACATAGGCTCTTGGATAAACACCGGAAGTTGCTGCAGCTTTCAGAGAATCAATTGCAACAAAACAAAGTCATATTGACTCTGTCTACATTTGTTTGATAGTTCAGGGTAGAACTACACTTAGTACGAGAAAAACTATGTTTCAGAGCGCTGACAATCATCGATCAAAGCAGTTGTATAATTATGTAATTATATATATATCATAAAAGGATATGTGTAATATCTATAATTAGAAACTGTCTTATTGTATAGAGACAACAAGTCTGATATGTACATTTTCGAGTTATAAAAACATCGGCGAAGCGTCCATGTCTTCTCATCATAGGAATAAAGTATATTTTTTAAACTGATGAATTTAAATTGATTCATCGTTATTATTTTCAGTGTTGAAGTTTTTAGTAATCAAAATTAATAAGTTATAAATAAACAACACAAAATTGATGTTTGTTTAAATTTAATACACAAAAGAGCAACGTTAGATGAACTTGTAGATCAGTAATATATATAACTGGAATAGTTTATGAAAAAATACTTCACACATAGCTATACACAAAAATATATAAATATGTATGGTTTCATTTTCTTATATCTTAAAATTCGTCCAATAATTGATCATTGTAGGACAACAGATGCAACTATTTTTTATTAATTTTTAATTTTATTTTTGTCTAAGCATGTTTGATGATTATTATTCATAACAGTAAAATATTTATATCTTTCCTTACATTCAAATATACAAAAACTATCTTAATTCTATAATTTCTGCAATAGACATACTATTCGTGAGATGGAGTAGGACTCGTGAAGTAAAAAAATGTCAAATAGCAACAATTGAACCATTGGGTAATGTTGCTCCATGTAAACTTTGTACTGTAGCTAATTGTTGAGCAGTTATTTTTGCTCCTAACAAATTAGTATAATTAAATATGACTTGAGTAACATCTGTATGCGTCCAATCAGTTCGTTGTAATGATGCGTAACTAAAATCTGCATATGAACAATTTGATTCTTGAAATGAAGATCCATCTAAAATCGAATATGAAAAATTACTTTGATATAAATGTATACGTTTTAATGAAAGATTTTGAGCAATAATATTCACAAAACTCAATTGATTATAAAATGAACCAGGAGGAAATGTTAAAGATGACAGATCTGCATGTGATAAATTAATGCGATTTTGAATACCACTATCAATTAACAATTGAATAAGTAAAATTTTTCGTACTGGATCAAGTTGTCTTAGAGCATATAATGTTTTTGTACGTATAATTAACGAAACACGTTCATCATCATTATCATCATCTATTCCATCATTATCTGTATCATTAAAATTAATAATGGAACTATATTTAAAAATAAGATTACATAAATCTTGTTCGTAAGTACTTAATATAGTTTGTTTTTGTTGATCATGTAATAATTCCATATCTTTTAAACGATTATGCAAAGCAATTGTCTGTGAGTTTTCATTTTGACGATCACTAAGATTTTGTTGCTGTAATGGAAGAACAACTGTTAGAATACCAACAACAAGTGGAACAAAAAGTGTTGATAGAACAGTAATCCATTCAAATACTGAATGATTTAAACATCCTTTACGTTGTTTAGCTTTTGTAGAATATATTTCTTCATTATTTCGAGTTTCTGTCAGCTCCGGCATTGTAAAAAAACAACAATACTTTGATAAATGAAACATTGGACTATTCTCTTTTTATATAGTCAAATAACCTTTATTATTTCAAATGAGTAATTGATGGTTTGAAAGAGCATAGTACCTGACCAAAGTAATAGCACAAATGTTATAAAATAGATGAGAAAGAGAAAGAGTGTAAACTTTAAAGTTACATATTGTCATTTTATAACTACAAGATGATTTATGTAAAGATTATCAAACTAACTT